AATTTTTGTGCACCGGGCCTCTAGTATTTCTATTTTTTTTTCTTAGAGAAACTTAATTTTCATTTAAAAAATAATAATTATTATTATATAGTGTTATGTTGGGGTCCAGCCCCAGCAGGTCCAGGGGTTCCCAAAGGTGTGGACGGAGTCGGCGAAGAAGGAATGACATGGATGCAGGGTTCAGTTGATCAGCATGGTTGGGTTCTCTCTAGCCAGGTTCTACAGCCAGGTTCTCTCTCTAGGTTCTCCAGCCAGGTTCTCTAGCCAGGATCTCCAGCCAAGTTCTTGCCAGGTTCTCTTGCCATGTTCTCTCACTAGGTTCTCCAGCCAGGTTCTGTCTCTAGTATTTCTTATAACAACGTAAACACATTCAAACCTGTAAAGAATTTTTGTGAGTTTGAGCCAAATTGTCGACAATTGCTGGGAAGCAGAATCTCAGCGGGTTGGGATAATGCTCTGGAGAATGGTGTTTTTCCCCCTTGTTTTATACATTACATTCAGAGGAGGAGACGTATGTGGGTTCCATGAACTCCATTGGTGATAGATTAGAGAGGTGGGAGAAAGCAAAGCAGCAACACCTCTGGGATTGGATAAAAAGTAAAATGATAGACACACTTCTTTTACTTAGGTGGGTGCAGGATAGTTAACAGTCAACAACTAACTCAATAACAATGAGGGGATTTGTGGTCTCCACAGAGTGGTGCATGTGCTTTGAGGGGTGCAGAAAAAGGAAAATTACTTTGACAGTCCAATGATATGTCATCGTAGATGCAAAAAGTCAATAGGCACAGTTAAGGTAAAGATTGACCTTTGCCAGGGAAGATACTGGCCTAGGATGTGACTACCCACCATAAACTGCTTTTAGTTAAAGTTTTAATTTCAGACCATCTTTTGGGAAAAAGGGAAGTTACAAGTTACCCAGACATTTCAAGGATATGTTATCCCAGATGCAAAAAGACAGATAGGCTTAGTTAAGGTAAAGATTGACCTTGTCAGGGAAGATACCGGCTTAGGACGGAACCACCCACCATAACTGCTTTTAGTTAAAGTTTAATTTCAGACCATCCTTGTGGTTACTTTAGGCCTTAGAGTTTGCAAGACCGCCATGCAGGCCTTCCCGGAGCTTGTCGGGTTAGTATGTGGCCCCTTTTGTCCACATAACTATAGCTAGTCCCCAATATTCTATTTTTGCCCCTAACACTGCCACACTTTGCCTTCTTACCCCCACCCCCACCCCCCTGCAGGCTCTTCTTTCCCAGCCCTTGTGGGGCTTCCCCTCTGGGTCCTTAGATTCATGGCTTGGTGGGTCTGGAGCAGCGGTTCTCAACCTGTGGGTCATGACCCCTTTGGCGGTCGAACGACCCTTTCACAGGGGTCGCCTAAGACCATCCTGCATATCAGATATTTACATTATGATTCATAACAGTAGCAACATTACAGTTATGAAGTAGCAACGAAAATAATTTTATGGTTGGGTCACAACATGAGGAACTGTATTTAAAGGGCCAGAAGGTTGAGAATCACTGGTCTGGAGGCACCGAATGAGAACATGTATCACAGGCCCGCACTTTCTAGTTCACCTGGCCGCCTCTCACTGATAATGAAGGTTTTGTTTCTGAATTGGTGTTTCTCTTCCAATCCTTCTCTGCTCCTTCTTTGAGGCCAGGCTCACTGGACCAAAGTCCTCAGGTCGGATCTGAGGCAAAGTTCACACTACGCTTGCAGGGGAATGGAGAATTGGGACTTGTTGCCTCATGCGCAGTGGTCTGATGACTTCCCTCTGAACTGCTGAGTTGCCTTTGGCAAGTATGAAAAGTGCAGACTCCATCCACCCACCAGTCCAGACAGCCAGCGTTCTTCATAGCATCTCCACGCTGCCTGCGTGGCAGAGCACCATCTCATTCTCACGGGGACTGTGTCTCTACAGTGGGTGTGGGGTGTGCCCGCTTCCGTGAGTCTGGAAGGGGAAGGGAAACTATAATTGCCTTCTGCTCATTTTGCCTTCTACCTGTCTCTCAAATTGATCTCTGCCAGCGCTCATGTTCAGGCAGATGCATCTCTTCCCTGAATTCTCCCAGCAGCCTCTTTACCTGTCTTCATATTTCCAGGCCCGCCCCCTTGAGTTTTTTCTCTATACTGCAGCCAGAGTGCAGAACACACGCCGACTTTGGATGATGGTATCTGAGAAAAGCCTTTGGGCTTAGGCCCGTGCCCTTTCTCTTCTCTCTTGTCCCATTGCTCCATGCCTGGAGTTTATGCTCTTGTAACTCAGAATTGCCAAGTATGGCCCTTCACATACTGTATTGCCTTCTGTTTGATTTTGCCTGTGTTCCCACCCTCTGGAATATGCTTCCTGGCCTTCCTTGTTGACTGTGACTCATCCTGGGAGACTCAGCTTGGGGGTTACCCCTCGGGGAAGCTTTCCCTGGCAGTCCCAGGCTGACCACATACCCCTTCTCTGGGCTCCTTGGGCACTGGTGCTTTTCTGTGTATTTACCGTATTGTAATCTCACCTTCTAGACCAGCAGTTCTCAACCTGTGGGTCGTGACCCCTTTGGGGGTCGAACGACCCTTTCACAGGGGTCGCCTAAGACCATCCTGCATACCAGATATTTGCATTACGATTCATAACAGTAGCAACATGACAGTTATGAAGTAGTTTGTAACAATGAAATTGGGGGTCACTACAACATGAGGAACTGTATTAAAGGGTCACAGCATTAGGAAGGTTGAGAACCACTGTTTTAGACTCTGAGCTCCTTGAGGGTAGAGATCGAGTGTGTTTAGTTCATCTCTGTGTACTCAGCCTCCAGTGCAAGGCTTGGCACAGCCAGCAGTTTTATGACTAACTAGTAGCCCGGTGCATGAAATTCGTGCACTGGGGTAGCGGGGGAGAAGGGGCCCCTCAGTCTGGCCTTCACCCTCTCTAATCTGAGACCCCTCAGGGAATGTCCAACTATCTGTTTGTGCCCACACTTTTAACAGATAACAGCTCCATTGTTGTTCCTTTCTTATGCTTAAAACCATTGGAATTAGTAGGTATTCAAAGTGTGTATACATTTTGGGGGGACACCCTGTATATCTCTAGTCAGTGGTGAAAGAAACCAACAGCAGATTTGGAACCCCCAGACAGGGAACCTCGCTCACTCCCCACATGTCTCCCCACTTCACTTTCCACCTTCGTGGGCAGCAGGAGAATCAACATTTTCTCTCATTAATTCGGAAAAGCACGTCCTGTCACCCGCTGCCCGGCAGGAGTGAGCTAGGCCCCAAGCAAGCGAGGCTCAGTCAGGGCAGCCTTC